ATTTTTTTTGTCCTTGTTTTCAAAATGTCTATCTACTTTTATATTTTGATTTTTAATTTCAAAAAAAGATCATGCGTGTGAACATGGCTCCTATATGAATGTGCATGTTGGTTTGTACGCAAGCTTGTCTTTGAGTCGGGTTAACCCACTAAAATCTAAAAAAAAAAATAAACTGCTATCAAAAAACGCCAAAGATTAAGTTAGTTCTAGCTATATCTGGAAAAGCCTGGGAAGATTTTTAAATTTAGTAGACTCAAAATCGGGGTGGTTTGAGGCTTTACTTTACAGAATATAGCACTATTACAGTGGCTACTTGCCACCTGCTAATTTTCCCCACGGATTTTTTTCTACCTAGAGTGTTACTCCCCAGGCTATTCTCCCACCCCCCCCCCCCCCATTTTTCGATGCATTGCTCCTCCTAGTTTTTCTATTGATTTTTTTCCATCAGGTTATTTTCACTATACTTTATAAGAGAGAGAACATATTTTTTTTTACATTTTTATTTTGTGTTTTCTCTATATCAATTAATTATTGTCTAGTCGTTGTAAGGTTACACTAAAAAGGTGTGCCGATGATACAAAAGCGTTATTCAATCAATTGACTAATTGACTATTGATGCACTCGCAATACAGTATTGATGAAGTCTAAATACACATTGTACAAACGTTTTAAAAGTTTAAATCCGGTTTTACATAAGAAATAGAGGAAAGAAAACAGGATATCTTTATAACATATTTCCTCTTTTGGAATTTCGATATCACACCTATTTTCTAGTCGCTCTATATACCCATATTTCTCTGCATCCACAAAAAAAACACTCCGGCAAGTAGCGGAACTATTATTTCTGTACTTTTACAGTACCTTTGAGGTCAATGCCCATAAGTGATTCTCTACTACGATACACCTACTTTTATTTAAAATTATGTGTTACGGTTGATGGTAGCAAATACGCCCATATCATTAAATATATTTCCTTTAATTAATGTTATTTAATTTGTTTATCAGAAAATTAGGTCAATTTATGTTTTATAACGTATGCGTATTATATATATTTTAATGTTTATGTTACTAACGTTTATTATGCTGTACACCGAATGCAATTTCCTATTGTTTTAACCAACTAGGATGTGAACAGAATATTGATAATTATGTACGTATTCTTACAGAATTTGTTACTATATATTGTAAGAAAAAGTAGAATTTGAAATTACCAAAAACATTATAACTTCCAAAAACATTATAATTTCGATGATCTGGGCCTGATAAAATAACGAATTGCGAAGGTTTATAGTATTTCGATAAAAAGTTTGGGTTTAATCAAATAAAGCTTGATATTAGTGGAAAAGTGTGAGATTTTAGAGGAGTGGCTTGAGAGCTTGAGGTTCACGACGGATGCGCGAGACTTGGTATGATATAGGCCTAATAATACATTAACTATACTGTATCTTTTATTTATTTTCTATGGTATAGACCTAAGAATGAGATAAAAATCACCTAACCTTTTTTTAAGAGGGGTAAAACCTTGAATTTTGAAGAAATTAAAGGTCATTAAGACACCTCAGAAGTCGGGAAAGCTCATTTCCGGCCATCTAGGAATCAAAATCTCATTTTTGGGTTTATGGGAAAATGAATCCCCCTCTTTCAAATCCTGGATCCGCCCCTGTATGCCATACAAATGTTTGTTACACTGTATTTTATATGCAAAAGAAGTAGAATATCAATTTCAAAAGGCTTCGTAAAAGATTCGTTTGAGATCGGAAAGTCACGTGACTCGGACAAGTATGGAATTACCACATCACAAATAATGAATGTCACAATTAATCTTGCATCTTACATTGCACGATTTAAACTAGGATAACTGAAAAGATATCTTGCTCAATATATTGAAAGTGAGTTATATCAACACAGAAGTAAAGAAAAATAAAGCAAAAGTTGTAAACTTGCACTAATTTCTCATTTTCATCTCCATTTAGTTCATTTTAGTGTTCAATGAAGACGCTAAATGGAGCCGAATATTACGAATATTAATGGGAGATTGTGCTTGTCCTCTCGAACCAAAATCTCCATGTTCAATCAAAGAATATTCATATTTTTTTTTATGAAAAAAAAAAAATCCCGAAACATGCATACATACTGAACAATGTAGTGGTGGCTGTGACTCAGGAATTACAAATAGAAGGGCATAGAAAGGCTATATTACAGATGGAGGATTCAGAATTTGTATGCCAATACCGGAAATTGCACTTTTTGACTTAAATTTGAATGTGATTTTCAAATTTTACAAACGACAGTGTAAAAACATACAAAAACACATAGGTCTGAGGGGCAACACACGTGTACGTGTTTGTGTGAGACCAACGTGTTCCCTGATCCTGTTGTGATTGGCCAGTTAAGTTTGAATGACACTCCAAAAGGGTCATTTGAACCCACTTCACCGAGGAAGACATTAAAGCCAGACAGCACCGCTCCTGACACTGTAGGAAGATCAATTCCATCCTTCAACCTATTTGTCCAATCAATTTCGGGTCATTATGACTTTTTAATCAATTGCTTCCACTCTTAGTACTCTATACTGAATATGCTCCCTAGCTTAAAGAATAAAAGAAATATGAAAGGAAAGGAAATTCCCTTTTTGTTGAGGTAAACTAAGTAATTAGTACTTCATTTTCGATGCTTCACCCACAGCTAATGTCCACAACCTAAAATGCATCCAACCATCAATCTTTTTCTTTAGTGACCATGTCTCATTACTCTGCATTAATTGTCCTAAAAATTATGACTAAATATAAAACACATAAAATAATTCATATTTATATTGCACACTTTATTCTGGTCCTTGTACATACATGTATGATATAGTATATAAATATATATATATATATATATATATATATACAGGTATATATATATATATATATATATTATTACATATACAGTATATGTATATATATACTGTATATATATTTATATACTATTTACATATTTTTATATATTTATTTATAAAAATGATTCCCTAGTAAATATATCGAGTGTACATATTTTACAATACCACTTCTCAAACTAATCATGATCTAAAGAAACTTCCAAATAACACCAAAGCACAGCTCTGAAATCACTGTTGTAATTAACAAAATGCATAAAGATCGTCACATCCTCAATGTCAAGTCAAGTTCCCTTTCACTTTGCTTTCCTTTCATCCTTTCCTTACCACTCTAATATGAAAGTCATTGATAATGAAAGTTAACTGAAAACTCAATTTAATCGGAATGGTTCTAGGAAAACAGATTTGTATCAGCAAAAAACAAAAAAAATCTCTGCAAAGAGTGGATAATCCATCACACCTCTGCTGCTGCCAATACAACAAAATTAATGACCCTTATAACTGACAGAATTCAGCCTCATTGGACAACAACACCAGTGGCATATCAATAGGAAGCTATGAGGTTTGGATAGTGCAGTGATGCACAGGTCTCTGCAAGTGCCTTCCTTCCTATTTTTTTTACTTAAGATCCCCCACTTAACCTTTGCACCCACATTAGCCCCATGTCGATACTATTTGATACACCACTGGATAACAACTCATCACGGTAACTCTATGTATTGGCCAAAGTAATAACGTCTTAAGCTGGGCATTTCTACGCACGACAGTGGTCAGCCAATGCGATTCTATAAAGAACACAATGCCACCAGTGCAACAGAATGTTTTTAATGATCCATTTAGACTGCCACCGACAATCACGCTCACATGGTGCGTATTGGATTCGTGCACCTGTCATACGACGCAGTAATTGCCCACCTTTAGGTTATCAAGCAGAGCTAAATGCAAATACTCATTAAAAACATAAAATTTCATTTTTACATTCATCATTCATTAAAGCAAATATATTTTCGCCAAAATTATATAAATATATTTTTGAAACAATATAAAATGTTAATTTATTTTATTTAAATTAGTTTATTTAATTTTAATTAGTGTTAATTAAATAAAATGTGAGTGAGCCGGTCCATGCAACGAATGACATGGTAACAAGCTCCACGAAATCAATAATAAAGATCATGACAAAAGTTGTTTACTGTTGTAGGTGGTTTACGAGAATGCTGTAATTTTGTAGAACATTGTTTGGAAAAGTGTTCAGATGTGTGTATTTGGCTAAAGCAAGCAACAATATGAACTGAAATGAAAAACATTTATAAAAACGTAATTTCCTTTTCGATAAATATACAAAATAGAGTATTATGAAAATACATCTCTTTACATATCATTATCTTTTTGCACATATACCTAAGTGCAATATATAAATACATTTATACACACTTTATTCATTATAAGGCTTACTACTGTACATTCAGGTTAGAAACAAAACATTACTTAAAACAGATATATAATTATGGTCTCCATGTTTCACTGTTAATATCCCCCACTCGAGTGAGATAATAAGAATATGTGTATTTAAATGATAGGGATAATTATCAACCATCATTCTGTTTTGATATCAGAATTTGTGAACCTCCATTAAATACAGTCAGTTTATTTTAGTTCTTATTTATTGAGAATGGAAGTTCAATAAATTTATAGTGAAGGAATGTTATTCAAAGCTGCGATTATAGATCCTGTTATTTAAATTATTAGTTATAGTGCCCTCTAGAGTTCACTTTTACTGACTGTACAAATGGTAGTATCTCCTAGAATACTCTGCTACGTGCTTAGTTATACTCATAAAAAACAGTTTGAAAAATATCAGTTGTTGCAACAAACAAGTTACTTGAAGATACAAATGTGTGTACAGTAATTTTACATAGTCATACATGGAGGACAAAAAAATAAAAACAAAATTTTTGAGTGGTTGAAGTGCAGTCACAACTGGGAATCGGGGTCAGATTATTTTTTTTAGTACCATGTGCCAAAACTCATGACCATACTATTCACTTGTGGATACCTAGTTTGGTGTGAGTTTTGATGTTAAAAAAAAAAAAATTAGGTCGGTTGGGTTTGGTAAACATACATTCTGAATTAGAAAGGGATTACATCAACAACGTGACTTACAGAAAATCAACAAGAACAATTAGATGCCACACCATAGTGGAATCAGGTATGCCACAACATATATTATTATGAAGGGAATGTAACACCCCTTTAATAGAATGATTGCAATCCTTAACAATACCCAAACAATAAAGACACATTATACATATGGTTGCCATTAATCAACAGTTGAATTTACAAATGGATGGACAGAAATATATTTAAACTAATGTACTGTACGAATGGGAATTACAGGCTGTTGAGGAAAATAACAAACTGGAAACCATGGTAACAAGAACAATATTAAGCAAGACACCAGGTAATATAGAGTAATGCTTTAGAAAGGTCGTGGTAACATTTTATGACTCGTTGGGATTGGCCATTTATTAGTAACTGGTAGCAGATATTTTTTTTCCACATCTAGGGTGTCAAGGGAATGACTGCAACACCCACCCCACCTTCATGAACTGTCATTTGCGCCATATACTCCCACACATTCGCTACAGGATCGTACCGTTCCATCGTACTCAGATTAGACAAACCGTCGTAGCCGCCAACAGCATACAAACGTCCGCCGTTTGACACAAGAGCAACGCGACTTCGTCTGCTGTTCATCGACGCAACGTACTCCCATGTGTTAGTTACTGGGTCGTACACTTCAACCGAGTCTAGGAACCGCGAGCCATCGTACCCACCGCATACATAGAGTTTACCTTTAAAAGCTACCACACCAAGACGACATCGCTTAGTCTGCATTGGTGCAACCATCGTCCAACGTCCCGTAAAATGATTGTAGCATTCAACCTTCAAGGAAAAAAAAAAAATCTGAAGATTAAAAAATATTATTTCCCACAAAGGCCAGCAAAGATCTGCTTAAGAATACAATTGTATCACAAATATTTATGTTACATAGTATAATTATTTTTTAGTTAACTCAATGACTGCCAAAGATTTTTCCTAGTTTTATCCAATATGCCAAGGCATAAAGGGTGCCACCATAACGAAAATCATTCCCATCAACTGTAATGAAACACAACAAACATACGGTATATGTTTTATAATCATTACTTCTGAGCTGAGTGAACCCTGACGGCTGTGAATTCATGTTACTGGCAGCCCACATGTTAGAGACATCATGTCAACAAATGATACTTTTGATTATTTCCCCAGAGTACAAAAAAAGTAGCCTGAACCAATGTTGCCAAATTGTCTAAATCTCCGTCCAGAATATACAAATTTATTTGACAAAACATGCTACATGCCTAAATATGGTCATGATGACATCACATCGTGACCATATATAGGTATATCATGACTATATATGGACATACAACAGTTTTTTGTCAAAGAAAATTTGATAGTCTGGACAGAGGTCAACAGTCTCTTGAGATACATTCTGAAGAACTGTAACTTACTGAACTAAATATTGAAAGCCCATCATGTCCACCTACTGCAAAGAGTTCACCATTCAATACGGTCACCCCAGCCGCACTGCGAGATTTGGACATGTCAGAAACAATTTGCCACCTAGAAGGAAAGACAACAATTGTCACAAAAAGATTCAAAAATAGACAAATATATTGCTACTATGGTTATATATTTGGATATATTAGAAGGTTATAAAGTATTTTTTTTTTTTTCAAATGTTTGTGAAGATTATTTAAACTGACATCAGTGAAGTAACCCCTTCAAAATAAAAAATAATTGAAAATTCATAGAAGCATTTCAGATTGATTTAAGTTTCAGTCTCAAATCAAATTGCATTTGAAGGTTTCTATCCATTTGAATAACTTCTCTAGGAGATACAGTAGTCCACATGTCAATTTGATTTCCTTTAACTTATGACCTGGTATTTTTTTTTTCTGTATTGCCAAAACAAAATACTTTTTAATGTACAACATAAATAATAAATACTGAACAGGAACATATCGAAAATTCTTCTCAGTTTGTTTTTAAAACAAAAATAAAATAAATAAATAAGATAAACGTCATAAATGCTTTGTTAATATAGTCCAACAATATTTACCTGTCTAGTTTGGGATCATAGCACTCAACAGAACTTAGGGATGATATCCCATCGTAACCACCGCAGGCATAGACACGGCCATCTAAAGATGCAACACCGAGAGCGCTTCGCCTGCTATTCATTGTCGATACGTCCCACCATTCACCGCTAAGAGAGTCGAACACTTCTACAGTATCCAAGCGAACACTGCCATCGTAGCCACCGACTGCATACATCTGTCCCGATAATACAGTTACGCCGACACGACTCCTTGGCGTTGACATGGATTTTCCTAAATGCCACGTGTTTGAAATTGGTTCATAAAATTCTACAGTACGCAGCGACTCGCCTGTAAGGAATGGATCTAATAAAAACACAAGTTGGTCAAAGTTCAGAAAGACAAAAGATCAGCTTACCTTAATAACTACGAACCGGTGTGGGATCATGCGACGACGACTACTGGTGTGCGTACATGCATGGGATCACATGCGAGAATGGACACCTAGAACAACTCAGCTTTGATAAACATTGTGATTGGTGATTTCACAAAGCACAATTCTGTTTTGAATTTTTATCAAAATTTATATGAAATGACAGAAATAATGGTGCATTTACAAAGATATACTGAAACCTGTATAAAAATAAAAATATTAGATTTCATAATTTGTATTTGCATTAACTTTCAACAGGAAATTAGAATAAAAAAACAATTTAAATAATGCAATTTTTATTTACTTTTTGCATTTACTTTTTAATTTCTGCCAGTCAAAAATAAACACCAGTAATAAATTGATTTGTTCAATCCAAGTTGTAAACAATTTTTCATTAAAAAAGCTTTATTTTAGTTTCAAGGATTCTTCAATGATTTCAGGATAAAGTAGAATTCAATATTATTGTTATTATAATGAATGATACCTTCACAAATACGAGAATTTTGATAAAACATGTACAGTATTAACAGTTTTTGAATTTTCTCGAAACTACTGCATGTTTTCCCTAATTATATTTGCTACTTTAAATGACTAAATGTTCAAACCGTCGAGATAAGGTTGTCAAAATTCAATGCACATTCCATGTGCTATCTTGATCATTACGTACTAAGCAAATGCTTAGAGGCAACAATGCTTATGGAATAACTTAACAGAATTGTGCTCGGGGATGCATCCAATACAATTCATGCAGCAAACCTATATATTAAATTGCAGACAACATGTACGTCAAGAAAAATATATTCAACATTTAATGAAAACATGTGGTGAGAAATCCAGGCTGTATCGAATAACGACACAGTTTATGTTTATAGTCATCACAGAAAGAACCATAACACTGTAATACGATTCTATCACATGACTCGGTTTTATCCGCTTTAAAGCCGTTAAGTATTACGGTATGATTTTATATCATTGAGTTACAAATACTTTAAATGCTTTCTAAAGTAACGGAACAAATTCTATTGCATTCTGTCCAAAAAAATTTGTTTTGAAAATACCACACTATAAATATATTGTTTCATGTGTTACACTAAAAAAAAAAAAATTACAATGAAAGCGGTATAATTATTTTGTATTTTATGCATAATTTAATATTAGCTTTTAATTATAAATTATACGAACAAATATTTCTCTTATGATATTGTTCCTTGATTTATTATCTAAATCTTTTCTCTTTTTAAGGAGAGTAAAAATAATGCAAATCAGTGAAACTGTACTGTCCTGATTTTTATCTCACTGGAATTTGATAAATTATTTGATTCTTAAAGCAATGGAACACATTCTAAGTGTACGCTGTCAAGAAATTCTACTTAACTTATAAAATCCCAAGTTAAAGGTACAACATCAACAAATCAAAATACACTGTGCTAGCTATTACAACAATCAGCATGCAAGTCATGCTTTACCTCTGTCCTGAATATCAAATTTTCTGACAAAAAACTGTTGTATGCCCATATATAGTCATGATGTGCCTATATATGGTCATGATGTGATGTCATCAGGACCATATTTAGGTATAAAATTTGATAGGCTGGACAGGGCTTTGTAAACATTTTAAGATGACCATCTCCCTTTAATGTAGGGAGCATTGTCTATTAATGCATTACATGTCAATTGCTATATAACCATGCATAAAAACTGTAAATATGAGTGTTGCAAATTATTTAATGAGTAGCAGCACATAAATTGTGAACAAGACATTCCACATAGGAATATAAAAAAAGTCAATTTATTATACATATACATAGACAATATTCAAGACTCGGCTGGCAAAAATATAGAATGTAAAGAAGAGAACATGACAAGATAGATTTTTTCTTTCATGGATTTCAGTGAAATCTATTCAATTTGCAGGAATTATAATGTTATGATCAATAATTCGCAGAACAATTCAAAGATTTCCATAAAATGATGTTTAAAAAAAAATGTCCATCTAAAAATATATGGAAAAAGAAAAATTTTATTGTGCAATATTGTATAAATTTTGAATTACTAGTGAAAATATGGATGTGAGCACTGATTTAAAATAGTAAATACTGAATAATTATATCTAACATAGTAGATACTGAATACGTTGTTAAATCAGTAGCATATCTAAGGAGTGCGGGGGTGTGTGTTGTGCAAGCCCTGGCAAAAGTTGCAAATTCCCCAATGCACCCCTCCTACAAACATTAAATTATCTATTAGTTACAAAATCACCTCATTTTTCAATTCATTATACGATGCTGCAATACTTATATCTAACATAGTAGATACTGAATACATTATTAAATTATCTATTAGTTACAAAATCACCTCATTTTTCAATTCATTATACAATGTGCAATACTTATATCTAACATAGTAGATACTGAATACATTGTTAAATCAGTAGCACGTCTAAGGAGTGTGGGGGTGTGTGGTGTGCAAGCCCTGGCAAAAGCTGCCAATTCCCCAATGCACCCTCCTCTTACTGATGACTTGCTAAGAATTAAATTATGCATTAGTTTCAAAATCACCTCATTTTTTAATTCCATGTACAATGCTACAATATTTAAATTTAAAATAGCAAATACTGAAACCGTTGTTAAATCATTGGTACAGTATATCTAAAGGATCATAGTGCTCTAACCCCGGAAAAAGTTGGCGATTTCCCAATGCACCCCCTACTAATGAATTAAATTGTCTATAGTTACAAAATGTACAATGCTGCAACACTTGTATTAATATCTATTATATTTATGTATTTCTTCAGATATTTTCTTAACCATGTTCAAACATTCATTTATATTCATATGTTTATCTTTTTTATCTTATAAATAACACTGCTATTAATATTATTTTTTATCTGTTTATTCATTTACTTATTTATTCAGTAATTCATTTATATATATATATATTTATTTATTTATTCTTATATGTTTTACTTATCTTATTTATTCATTTTAAGTAATAATTACTTACTGTTTATTGTAATTGTATTTAAGTTCTTATCAATCATTGGCAAAGATGTAGCTAAGTATTATTTTTTTGAAAATGTTACTTTCGTAGTTGTGTTATATTTTTGTATTTCAGTTCTTTGTACTTTCTAATATGAATGGATGCACCACATGTGTGTTTCACTGATGCAAAGGGGCAATTTCCAAATAAACTGATTTGATTTCATATGCAAATTCCATGTACAATGAATGCTATGTCATCCATCTATGATTGTTGATGAACAAAAACCTGATAAGTTTGAGATAAAAGTAGTATATGAAACCAACTCCAAATAAGTAAAGCATGCCATTGTGACTCTCATATAGTATGTTGGAGTTTACTTTCTCACATCTGCCCAGTGGCTGTTCTGTCATTTGATTTGTGCCCCCCGCCTTTGAAACTCCTGCCTCCAAGCTACAGAGGTCGATCTACTTCTTTGGGCTACATGATTATTGATTACTGGTCACATACCTGTAGATCACTCATACACTGTGATAATGCCAATAGCCTTTAAAAGTGCTAAATAACTGTTGAGTTTACTTTCACCCATTTGCCTAGCGGCCGTTCTCTCATTCTATTTGTGCCCCCTGCCTTTAAAACCAGTCAAGAAGCTACAGAGGTCAATCTACTCTCTTGGGTTAAATGATGAATAATCACTGGTCACTTAGATCACTTATCCACTGTGATAATGACAAAAGCTTGTAAAAGTGCTAAAAAATTAAACGCTGATTAACATGAGATTATAGTAAACTAACCTGCTTTAGTTAATCCTCCTACAGCATATATTACGCCTGCAATGTCATTGCAACAACGTGGCTTTGTTCGCGGACTTTGCAGCATGGTGCGCCGTTCGGGCATCAGGTGGTAATCTTTGGCTTCATCAACTAGGTCTCTATGGCAAGCAAAAACAGTCAAAAAAGAAACATAATTGAAAGTTTTAAATTCTGAAGATATTCTAGCAACTATGTAAACTTATAATTGAAATTATGTTTTTTATGGACTAGATAATAAAAAAAAAATATCATATAGATGCTAATGTCGTGAGTAGAATTAGTATTCCCTTCAGGAACGAATACTCCGATTGAAGAGTATTAAGTTGAACTTCTGGAATGAATAATATGCCCTTCTCAACACTTCATTTAACATTTCTAGGAAATCATAACCTTTTCATTTTCATTAATAATAAGTGACAATTGCTTGCAAATAAATTTTTTTAATTATACTAAAAGAGCACGTAGGAATTCAAATTACAGTAGGCTGGAGTGGGGGGGGGGTTATACTTAGTGCATGTCTAGAAGGTGGACACCTACCTACAACGGTGACAAGATTTTACAAGTTCCTCTGTCGATATTCTGTCTGTCAGAACTTGAGGTCGTATAAGAGGTAGACGAACTGTTGCTAATAATTGTGGCATTAAATTTTTCCTGTCTTCTAAACTATAACGCACCCAGTGTATAAGTGCATCAAACACCTGAAAAAAATATCAAAATAATATATTTCTAATTTTTATTTTAACACCTTTGCTAGTGACGAATATGCTCATCCCAGAGGGTGTTGCTGATGGTGCTAGGGATGACTACACTTGTCAAAACCACAGCAACATTCTATTACCGGTATTTCATGTTATACATTGTAGAACCACAGACTTAATGGCTGATAGGTCAGGGAAGATACACCTAGACGATAACGTACAAATAATGACATGTATGTTTGTGTTATGTTGCCGGCAGTACAAAAGGTTGCACGCGGACCATATATCAACCAACGCAAAAAGCGGATGAGAAAACTTGCACTTGGCAGAGGCTATAGAATGTACTGCCTCATTGCCTGTGATGAGTTTACTTGTCCCCTAATATTTTCCTGCCAATTTATTAGACACACCATTTTGATGACATGTGACTTGATAACACTTCAAGAAAGTATGTTTGTACATGTATATACTTGTTTTGGCACATGGGACAAAACCTAAAAAAAAAAAAAAAAAAGGTCTGCCAGTCAACAAGTTAATACTTAATAAAATATTTATTATGTTTTTTAAAGTAAAATACTTTTCATGTTAGTCTTACTCTGATCAGGATAATAATTGAGTACCTGATGGTTTGAGTGCTAATGTGCTGATTAGTATCTGCAACTTTATTGAATTCTCCCACAGGCAGTTGAGGGTTCTAAAGGTGTTTGATTCGACGACCGGGATTATGAAATGTGAAACACATTGAGGCCTAGAAACTATAATGGATTAAGCCCTGTCTAGACCATCAGATTTTATTTGACAAAAACATGTGACATGCCTTAATTAATATGGTCATGAAGACATCACATTATGACCATATATAGGCACATCATGACATATGTGAGGTCTCACCACAAAATGAGTCTCATGGTTAGAAATTCAAAAATTGAGTTTATATTATATTTGGATAAATCGCATTATAAGCTTTCATTTGGTCTTTGAAAGGCTTCCCTACTATAAGTAAATCCAGAGATGTGAGCATTTAAAGTTTAGGTGTATAAGAACCACGTTTTGAGAAAATCGACCTCAAAGATAAACTAACCTGTACAAATAATATGACTAGAATTACAGAATGTGTGCAGAGAACACTGTTTTGGCCAGAAAATTCACTTACAAAGTATACAATCATAAAATATAAGTATCAAGTTATTCAAAAACATTAAAATCAAAATTTTGTAAAAATATTGACTTTGGCCTGTTTTGGTGAATATCTCAATATGATTTCACCAACGATGCATCTCATTTGTGGTTAAACCTCACTTTTGGGCAATATCAGTTTTTATTTGATAGCCTGGACAGGGCATGACAAGATGATTGTTGTTATTCTTATATCAAAACACTTATTGAGATCTCTCTCAATAAGTGTATTGATGTTCATGTCAACCAATCTGACATGAACGTTTTAAATATTCTACTATCCAATTTAGTTTTATCATGAAGAAAATATTTTTCTCTTAATAGGGATTTCCCAAAGGGGGGTTTATACAGCATCGATACTGACAATAATGACAATGAGGAATGTCAAGGAGGAGAACGATGATGATGATGATGATGATGATGATGATGATGATGATGATGATGATGATGATGATGATGATGATGACGACGAAGATGACGATGATGATGATGATGATAAGGAGCAGGAGGAGGAGGATGGTGAGGATGAGGATGATTATGATGACAATGTCAATGAAAATAAAAATGTAAACGATGATGATTACGAGAGGAAAATGATAAGGATTAGGATTATGATTATGATGAGAGGAGGATAAGAGGAAAATTGTGATGATAATGAGGATGATGAAAATAATTGATAATGATGATGGGAGTGCTACAGCACATTTACATATTATACACATTTATAGATATAAACCACCTGCCATTTTTATACTGTATATAACAGTGTAAATAAAAATAATAAAATATAATGATCAAATTTATTTCCATGTTTAATAGAAAAGTTGTGATTTGATTGGAGCACGTGTTTCATTGAATATGTTTTTTTGAGGATGCAAGTTCCACAGTTGGTGGCAGCATACACAAAATTATCACAGCACTCCTGACCTGTTCCTCTCCAGTAACATTGAGTTCATCACTGGTCAAGATCTCTAGCACCTCCTCTGGTGTCAGGCTCAAGAACTCCTCTGACCTATACACATCGGTGAAACGCTTCTGGATATAGCTAGCTGCGGCGTTGAATAAATTACTACACACCATCGTATCAGCAAACCTCTTGATACCTAGGCAATTATTTGGATGCAGCCTGGAAAATAAAAGTAATGACAATATAATTACCAATCATTAGTTTTTCTCAGTGAAAAATAATAAGTCAGCTTTATAATGTGTTTAACGTCGCAGCTTCTATGCACTCTACACTATTTTCAAGGTCGTCTTATCAAACAACTAAATCCTCAACTCCTTGGGGGAGTACTTATTTTTACGGCTAGTAATAATTACACTGTATCCAGTCCATAGGGGTTTATTTATACCTCTGTAGATACCCAATCCCACCAGGTACCCACTTTATACTTCCAGTTGTAATGTGACAACATGGACGTTATTGAAAATTCCTTGCACAAGGTCACCAACACCTGGTCTCAAGAAAAGACGTGTGGTCATTTGCAGATTTGAACTCAGAACTTTTAAGCCTAGTTCTCAAGAGAGCACTAGCATCCGGATCGGGAGTTAACCATTAGCGCTAACCGTTAGCACTTGCGTGAGAACGCCCGATCGGTTAGCGCTAACCGTTACCAGTATCCGGATACCGCTAACGGTTAGCAAGCACTATCGGTTAGCAAGTTGAGCGCGTTTCTATCATCAACCACGTACGCATTTACAATTTCCAGTTTCTTATTGGCCAGTTATTTGATCATCATATTTTTGGTATCAGGATCGGGATTTTCTCGTATGGATGCACGGCAGCTAATGGTTAGCAGGATCTGGATCCTGCTAACTGTTAGAAGCCGTGTGAGAACATAGCCTTAAAAAACTTAAATATCTAACACTTTTGGTATTTCAGAGTGGAGTGGAGTTGAATACTGTAGCTTGGTGGTTAAGATGCTTGCTTTCCAATATTAGGGTGCTGGGTTTAATTCCTGTCATGGTAACAGGATTTTTTTCTCCAGAACAAATGACCAAAGACAACTCCACTCCCTAATCCTCATAATGAGACTTCCCAGGTGTTTGTAATCACACGGAATCCCCATTCCATTTATACAACACACATTGCTGCTAAGCAGTGTTAAAGCGTTTTAAACGGGCCCTTAGTTTATGTGGAGCATTTTGTGTTTATGTTTGTCTTGTGAAGGTACAGTATGCCACTTGAGAATAGTTCACTCCTTAGAATATACTTGGTCTTTAGCTTAAACCAATAAATAAAATAAAAAATCTACAGATTTTTGTAATCAGAATGTGAATAGAAATTAACTTATATTTCTCTATGGTATAAACAATTATTATCTGACAGTCAGGAACAGATTGATCATGGAATGAATTATTAGTATAAATAACATTGGCTATATTTTGGTAATAAAAATAGTACTAGAAATTGCAAATTGCAAGTGAAGTGCTGCGAAGTACAACTGCATATAAATGTTCTTCGAACAAAATTATTTATGCGAGTCAAGTGAAAATAATGAATAACCAGAGCCTTGCAGGCGTCAACGTTCCTATGCATGATACACGACTTTTAGAAGTATATATACACGTGTATATATATATATATGTATGTATATATACATATATGTATATATATACGTATATATATACACATATACGTATATATATATTCATATATATACATATATATATATATATTTATACATATATATATACATATATATAT